CTCAGCCTCCCAAAGTGCTGGCCTTACAGGCATAAACCACCACAGCACACCTGGCCACCCCAAAATTGTTGAATTCAGTTTTCATTTATTTCTTTATTTGAGATGGGAGTATTGCTCTGTCGTCCAGGCTGGAGTACAATGGTTCAATCTTGGCTCACTGCAACCTCCACCTCTTTGGTTCAAGCAATTCTCCTGCCTCAGCCTCCCAAGCAGCTGGGACTACAGGTGCATGCCACCACACCGGGCTAATTTTTGTATTTTTAGTAGAGACGGGGTTTCACCATGTTGGCCAGGACAGTCTCAAATTCCTGACCTTGTGATCCACCCGCCTCGGCCTCCCAAAGTGCTGGGATTACAGGCATGAGACACCACACCTTGAATTCAGTTTTCGCTTTATAAGAGACTATCTCTTTTTCTTGCCTTTTTTTTTTTTTTTTTTTTTTAAGAGTTTTACTTCGTTGACCACCCAGGCTGGAGTGCAGTGGCATGATCCTGGCTCACTGCAGCCTTCACTTTCCAGGTTCCCACAGTCCTCCCACCTCAGCCTCCCTAGTAGCTGGTACAGCAGGCATGTGCCACCGCACCTGGCTAATTTTTTTATTTTTATTTTTGTATAGATAAAGTCTATGCTATGTTACCCAGGCTGATCTTGATTTCCTGGGCTCCAGTGATCTACTCATTTCGGCCTTGCAAATTGCTGGGATTACATGCATGAGCCACCCCTGTGCCCAGCCCCCTAAAATTCTTGAATCCAGTTTTTTTGTTTGTTTTTACACGGAGTCTTGCTCTGTTGCCCAGGCTGGAGTGAAGTGACACTTATCTTGATTAACTGCAGCCTCCGCCTCCTGAGTAGCTCCCAGGATTACAGGCACGCGCCACCACACCTGGCTCATTTTTATGTTTTTAGTAGAGACAGGGTTTCACCATATTGGTCAGCCTGGTATTGAACTCCTGACCTCAGGTGATCCACCTACCTCGGCCTCCCAAAGTGCTGGGATCACAGGCGTGAGCCACCGCGCCCAACCTTGACTCCAGCTCTCACTTTATAAGAAACTCATCAAACCATGTTGCAATGTGGTCACACCGTCTCCCGCTCCCAGCAGCACAGCATGGGAGATCCGGCCACCTGACTCCACCCGCGCCTGGGACCTTGGCGATCCCCCATGGTCCCCATCAGTATCTCCGTGAGTGATCCATGTCTCCCTCTCTCCAGGTGATCCGGACGGACACGTTCAAGCACCTGCGGCACCTGGAGATTCTGCAGCTGAGCAAGAACCTAGTGCGCAAGATCGAGGTGGGCGCCTTCAACGGGCTGCCCAGCCTCAACACGCTGGAGCTGTTTGACAACCGGCTGACCACGGTGCCCACGCAGGCCTTCGAGTACCTGTCCAAGCTGCGGGAGCTCTGGCTGCGCAACAACCCCATCGAGAGCATCCCCTCTTACGCCTTCAACCGTGTGCCCTCGCTGCGGCGCCTGGACCTGGGCGAGCTCAAGCGGCTGGAGTACATCTCCGAGGCGGCCTTCGAGGGGCTGGTCAACCTGCGCTACCTCAACCTGGGCATGTGCAACCTCAAGGACATCCCCAACCTGACGGCCCTGGTGCGCCTGGAGGAGCTGGAGCTGTCGGGCAACCGGCTGGACCTGATCCGCCCGGGCTCCTTCCAGGGTCTCACCAGCCTGCGCAAGCTGTGGCTCATGCACGCCCAGGTGGCCACCATCGAGCGCAACGCCTTCGACGACCTCAAGTCGCTGGAGGAGCTCAACCTGTCCCACAACAACCTGATGTCGCTGCCCCACGACCTCTTCACGCCCCTGCACCGCCTCGAGCGTGTGCACCTCAACCACAACCCCTGGCACTGCAACTGCGACGTGCTCTGGCTGAGCTGGTGGCTCAAGGAGACGGTGCCCAGCAACACCACGTGCTGCGCGCGCTGCCACGCGCCCGCCGGCCTCAAGGGTCGCTACATCGGGGAGCTGGACCAGTCGCACTTCACCTGCTACGCGCCCGTCATCGTGGAGCCGCCCACGGACCTCAACGTCACCGAGGGCATGGCCGCTGAGCTCAAATGCCGCACGGGCACCTCCATGACCTCCGTCAACTGGCTGACGCCCAATGGCACCCTCATGACCCACGGCTCCTACCGCGTGCGCATCTCCGTCCTGCATGACGGCACGCTCAACTTCACCAACGTCACCGTGCAGGACACGGGCCAGTACACGTGCATGGTGACGAACTCGGCCGGCAACACCACCGCCTCGGCCACCCTCAACGTCTCGGCCGTGGACCCCATGGCAGCCGGGGGCACCGGCGGGGGCGGCCCTGGGGGCGGTGGTGGTGTCGGAGGGGGCAGTGGCGGCTACACCTACTTCACCACGGTGACCGTGGAGACCCTGGAGACACAGCCCGGAGAGGAGGCCCTGCAGCCGCGGGGAACGGAGAAGGAACCGCCAGGGCCCACGACGGACGGTGTCTGGGGCGGGGGCCGGCCCGGGGACGCAGCCGGCCCGGCCTCGTCGTCAACCACGGCACCGGCCCCACGCTCCTCGCGGCCCACGGAGAAGGCGTTCACGGTGCCCATCACGGATGTGACGGAGAACGCCCTCAAGGACCTGGACGACGTCATGAAGACCACCAAGATCATCATCGGCTGCTTCGTGGCCATCACATTCATGGCCGCGGTGATGCTGGTGGCCTTCTACAAGCTGCGCAAGCAGCACCAGCTCCACAAGCACCACGGGCCCACGCGCACCGTGGAGATCATCAACGTGGAGGACGAGCTGCCCGCCGCCTCGGCTGTGTCCGTGGCCGCCGCGGCCGCCGTGGCCGGTGGGGGTGGCGTGGGCGGGGACAGCCACCTGGCCCTGCCCGCCCTGGAGCGAGACCACCTCAACCACCACCACTATGTGGCTGCCGCCTTCAAGGCGCACTACAGCAGCAACCCCAGCGGCGGGGGCTGCGGGGGGAAGGGCCCGCCCGGCCTCAACTCCATCCACGAACCTCTGCTCTTCAAGAGCGGCTCCAAGGAGAACGTGCAAGAGACGCAGATCTGAGGCTGCAGGGCCAGATGGGCGAGGGGCGCGGAGCCCCCCACCCTGGTCCCAGCCCCACCAGGACCCCTCCTTCCCACAGCCCAGCCCACCTTCTGGGACCACGCAGGGAATTGGGGAGAGGTGGCTTCCAGCCCCATCTGGGGCACGGACCCCCAGTGAGGACAGGGTGGGGCTCCAGAAGCAGAGTCTCCGGGGGTCCTCACCTCACACCCCACCGATCCCTGGTGACGGGAGGGGACATGGGATCCAGAAGTGGCCCGGGTTCTCCTCACTTCCTCCTGGCTCTCCCGACTGTTCCCGGCCCGCCGCCTTCCAGGGGAGAGAGGAGATTTTTCCAGGCGTGCCCTTTCCCCTTGGCCCCAGACACCCTCCTTTTACGGTTGTTTTTGCAGTTTGACGCCCATCCCTCCCTCCCACTCCTCCGCCCTTCGAAACTGAAGAGACGGACGTGTCGCCAGAGCTCCTGCACCCTGGCCTGTCCTTCCTGGCCGGCAGTCCCTGTCGTCGGCGGGGTGGGGGTGGCAGCCTCCACCCGCCCCAGCCCCACCTGCCCCACAGACACTTTTGATACTGAAGGGAGGTTTGCGTCAATGACTACCTGCTCTGTAATTACTTTAAAAAAAAAAACATGGAAAAAGTAAAAAAATATTTTTTTTGGTCATGAAAGCACGGAGGAGAGAAAACAAAGTGAATGTGGGTGGGGGCGGAGGAGAGGCTGGAGAACCACCCTGAAGACCCGCCAGAAGGGTGGGCGCGGGGCACCTCCTGGTGGTCTTAGGCCCCTTAGCCTTCACCCTGGAGACCCCAGGGAATGTCTGATTCCTTCCCCTCACCCCAGCACTGCCACACCACAGCCGAATCTAAGGCAGAGGCGTAGAACAAAGGAAATCTGCCGCCCCACAGTCCTGGAGGCCGGCAGGGATCGAGGGGCCAGGAGGGCCATGCTCTCTGAAACCTGCGGGCCTCTGGTTGGGGTGGGGGAGAGCTTCCTGCTTCGCCAGCTGCTGGTGACCCCAGGCTGTCCTGGCTGGTGCCTGGATCACATCACCCCAGTTTTCCAGGCCTGTCCTTGTAGCCTTCTAACTCTTCCCTCTGTATGCGTCCGTGTCCAACTCTGTGTTTTTTGTTTTTTTTTTTTGAGACAGAGTCTTGCTCTGTGGCCCAGGCTGGAGTGCAGCAATGTGATCTCGGCTCACTGCAACTTCTGCCTCCCAAGTTCAACTGAATCTTCTGCCTCAGCCTCCCAAGTAGCTGGGATTACAAGTGCCCACCAACATGCCTGGCTAATTTTTGTATTTTTAGTAGAGACAGGGTTTCGCCATGTTGGCCAGGCTGGTCTTGAACTCCTGACCTCAAGTGATCCACTTTCCTTGGCCTCCCAAAGTGCTGGGATTACAGGTGTGAGCCACCACGGCCTGCCTAACTTCCCCTTTTACAAGAACAGATCAGACTGGACCAGGCGCCCCCACCTCCAGTATAACCTCCGCTCCATCCTTGGCAAAAACTCAAATTGCCAAATAAGGTCCTGTTCTGAGGTCAGGATTTCTGCGCTTCCCTTTCGGGGTGACAGTTCAGCTCATGACAGGGCCTAATCCAGAGCATGTGTCTCCACCGCAGACCTCCTCAGGGCTGCTCTGGAGGAGGGGGTGATGAAGGGAAGGGAGGCTGAGTGGGGTGGGGGAGAGGGAGGATGGGGCTGCGGCCTCTGGGGCATAGGAGCTGTATTTCTGGCTTGTTCAGTGGGAGGATGGCGGGACGGATGGGGTGGGCCTGGGGAGGAAGGGGCATCACAGTGCTGCCCAGAAAGTAAGGGACAGAGCCCTCAGAGAGCAGGGAGCAAACGGTGGGTGGAGTGGGGGGGGCTGCTAGCACAGTGGGCAGCTATTGGGTGGGTGGGGAGACGGTGTGATGATGTCTCTGTGGGGGGATCAAAGTGTCTGAGTTGCAGCCGCAGGAGGCTGGGGCTGGCCGGAGCTGCCATCTCACACCACTGCGGGAGGCAGCGGGAGTGCCAGAGCCACACTGGGCCTTCCAGTGCCTTCCCGCGCTGAGGGGGTCTTGGGGACACAGCCCCGAGCTCGGCCCCCTTCTCCCCTCACGGGGGCCCAGCCTGTACCCTGTACATGGCAGCTGTGGGCACTGTGGGACACACATGCCCCAGGAGGAGTCAGAAGGTGGGGATGGCGGAGACCTCCACTCATGAGGCCCCCAGCCCCTGCCCCCTTCCTGGCTTTCTACACCTAGGCATCTTATCTCCCCACACCCGGGGCTCCTGGCTCTGAGAGCCAATTCCTCCCTTATCAGCAGCGGTGGCCTCTGGGCGCCACGTCGGGGTCCCGGGTCCTCTGTCTGCGCCTGTCTCCTCTCTCCGCCTGTCGGCTTGGGGCTCTCGCCACCCAGTGCCCACCCCCACCCCATGATCCCTTTCACGCTCTCTTTCTCTCCAGCCTCCTTCCAGCGCCAATCCTGGTTGCTATGGAAACACTGCAGCGGGTACCAGGTGGTGGCTGGGGGCAGGGAGCCCGCACTGCCGCAGCCTGCGCCATTTCCGATGCCAGGCACCCTCGAGGCACAGTGGCTGGGGCTCACGGTGGGGGTGCTTGGCCTCTCCAGGCCTCATAGGCTTCTCCTGGGCTGATGCGAGCTGGGGAGCTGGAGGGATGGACGTGGGAGCGAGAATGTCACATGGAAGACATCTGGTGGCACGATGGGGGACAGAGTGAAAGGCGGCAAGTCAAGGTGAACTGAAGGATGATCAGCACCGAGGGAGGCTGTGGACAGGGGTGGAGGCTTTAGGAAGGGGACCTGTGCTGCAGGGCTAAGGAGGTTGGGCCCGCTGAGGCAAGGGCACCTCGAGGAGAAGCCGCAACCGGGGCTCCCGCTGCCTCCAGGAGGGCTGGGGGCACAGCCAGGCTGAAGCTTCCCTCAGACCTTGGCTGCTTGAGGATGAGGAGGGGAGCTGAGCCCAAGGGGACAGACAGAGCCCAGATCCCTGTCACCATCTCTTCTCCCCACCCAAAGCAAGATGCAGTTTCCATGACAACCTGGCCGGCCAGAGATGGGGGCAGGGGACTGCAGAGGAAATTTTCCACACCAGCAGAGAGCAAGGAGGGTGTGCTTCGGGGAAAGAGGGGCACGCAGGGCTCCCAGAACCCCCGGTCACCATGCTCACCGCGCCAGGCCCAGGAAAGTGATCAGAGCGCAGGAAAGGATTCTCCTGCCTCCACTCCAGCAGACCCACACCCCCACCCTGGGTCTGCGGGGAAGGGAGAAGGCTGAGCCCAGAGGCTCAAGGGTCAGATGTCCAAAGAGCAGCAGCTGCCCAGCCTCGTGCAGGGGGCAGCGAGCAGTCCAGGGAGCCCAGGCCACAGACCACCACACTCAGGGCCATGGCCGACAGGGGCCCACGGAGGGTGGGCGTGGTGGGCTACGGCCGCCTCGGTGAGTCCCTGACCATCTTGGGCCTCCTTCCCCAGGCCATTCCTAAAGCCCCCAGGGCTCTCTGCCCTCCACAAACACAACTTCTGTCTCTATCTGCCCCTGGCTGTGTCTCTGGGTCTGCCCACCATACCCCACCCTGGGTCTCTGTCTTCTTCTCCATCTGTCCCCTTCTCTCTGGCCCTCTGTCTACCCCACTGGGTCTCTGCCCCTGCCTCCGTCTCTATCTCCCTGATCTCTGAGTCTCTGTCCTCACCTACTCTCTCTCTCTCTCTCCGGGTATCTGTCCCCACTTCTTTCTCTCTGGGTCTCTGTCCCTCTCTCTGGGTCTCTTTCCTCCCCTCCTCTCCCTCTGTGTCTCTGTCCCCTTCTCACTGGATCTGTCTCCTTCTCTCTCTAGGTCTCTGTCCCCTCCTCTCTGGGTATCTGTCGCCCTCTCTCTGGGTCTGTCCCCCTCTCTCTGGGCCTCTGTCCCCCTCTCTCTGAGTCTCTGTCCCCCCCTCCTTTCTCTCTGGGCCTCTGTGCCCCTCTCTTTGGGACTCTGTCCCCTTCTCTCTGGGTCTCTAGTCCTCTCCTTTCCCTCTCCCCAGGACAGTCCCTCGTCTCCCGCCTGTTGGCTCAGGGACCAGAGCTTGGCTTAGAACTTGTTTTCGTCTGGAATCGTGACCCAGGACGAATGGCAGGGAGCGTGCCACCTTCCCTACAGCTCCAGAACCTTGCTGCCCTTGGGGAAAGGTCAGTGACCTTGCCATGGGAGAGTGGAGCTCCCTGAAGGTCCTGTCCTGGCCCCCTCAGCCGCTGTGTGATTGATCTCAGGGACTCCCTGACCCTCTGGGCCTTGGTTCATGCAAATGTGAAACAGGACGAGCCCATTCATCGCATTTTGCCTCCCAGCCCAGGGAGAAGAGGGCAGCCCTCAGTAGACTAAGAGAGAATCTTGGGGAGAAGAGGCCTAATACCTCTCCAAGAACCTCTGCCCTCTTTCCCCTCTCCCAGGCACCCCGATCTGGTTGTGGAAGTGGCCCATCCCAAAATAATCCATGAATCTGGGGCACAAATCCTGCGCCATGCCAATCTCCTGGTAAGCCCCGCCCCAACCATTCACGCAGAGCCCTCCCCCTTGTGTCTTAGTCTTACCCTACCCTAAAGTAGAGATCCTTCTCTGACCTCAACCCTCCCTCCTTTGTGCACCCCAGGTGGGGTCCCCCTCAGCCCTAGGTGACCAGACCACAGAGCGGCAGCTTTTGGAGGCCTCCAACCACTGGAACCATGCCGTGTTTGTGGCTCGAGGGGCTCTGTGGGGCACTGAGGACATCAGGAGATTGGATGCAGCTGGGGGCCTCCAGGTGCGGGTCTGCTGGGCTCCATTGGAACCGGAGGGGGCCTGCAAAGACCCTGCTCCCCCTGACCTGGGCTCTTGCTTCCAGAGCCTGCGTGTCACCATGGCCACACACCCTGATGGCTTCCGGCTGGAGGGACCCCTGGCTGAAGCCCATAGCACCGGGTGTCGCACTGTGCTCTATGAAGGCCCTGTCCGTGGGCTCTGTCCCTTTGCCCCCCGAAACTCCAACACCATGGCGGCTGCTGCCCTGGCTGCCCCCAGCCTGGGCTTCGATGGGGTGATTGGGGTGCTTGTGGCTGATCTCAGGTGAGCAGAGCTGAGGAGGGGGTTGGGCCAAGTCCAGGGTAACCAGACTGACCGCCCTGCTTGCCCTAGCCTCACGGACATGCACGTGGTGGATGTGGAGCTGAGCGGACCCCCGGGCCCCACGGGCCGAAGCTTTGCTGTGCACACCCACAGAGAGAACCCTGCAGAGCCAGGCGCGGTCACCGGCTCTGCCACCGTCACGGCCTTCTGGCGGAGCCTCCTGGGTGCGGCCAGGCCCCGCTCCCCCGGCCCTGGGCTCCTGTGTCTGCAGAGCGTGGGGTCCCAGGCTCTGGCTAGTTCTGCAATTCTGGTTCTGTCCTTGTTGACCTTTACTTCTGACCTTTATTTCCTTAACCTTCTCTCTCCACGACTTTGAATCCTGGCACTGTAGATGTCTCCATCTCTGTCCGCGTCTCCTCTCTGAGTCTCTGTGCCCGCCTCTGTCCGGGACTCTGTGTGTGTGTGTGTGTCTTTGTCCACCCCCAGGGCTCTGTCCTGCTTTCTCGGGGGTCTTCGTCCACCGCCGCCCTGGCCTGTCCCTTACTCTCACCACTGCCTCCCCAAGGCGTCTGTCTCATCTCTCCTCTCTCTAGCTCATTCCTCTCTCTCCCCGCAGCCTGCTGCCAGCTCCCCTCCAGGCCGGGGATCCATCTCTGCTGAGAAGCCTCCTCCCTCCGAGACGAGATCATCTGACTGGCCTCCCACCACCACCATCCCAGTCCTGCCCTGCCCCACTTCCCCAGGATCTCCCTTCTGACTCAGTAAAGATCACACGGGCCCGCCCCTCCGCCGCCTTGCGTCTCTGGTCCCCGTTTCCCTTCTGTGACGTCACGCTGCGTCTGCGCACCGCGCATGACGCCATCACAAGGGGCGAACACCCGCGAGAGCGCGGCTCCAGGAAGCTATCGCGAGAGCCTAACCACTATATTGCCCAGACGCTCTGCGCGGCAGTGGGCGCGGCCGTACGCGAGGGAATGGCCTCTCAGGCGCATTTCCGGGACTTGCCGCTTGGCCCGACGAAAGTTGTAGTGCGGCGTTTTCTAGGCCCGACAGCGGACTTCAGGGCCACGCGGCCTGGGCGTTCCTTGTGGAGCAAGCGTCCCTCGGGGACCCACGGGAGTCGCAGTCCGGCGTGCGGGGACCGCCGGGAGCTGTAGTCCGCCCCCCCTGCCCAGTCAGCGCAGTGCTGCCCGCCCCGCACTGGGAGCTCAGAGCCGCCGCCCAGGAGGGGGATGCGGAAGCCCCCGGCTTGGTGGAGTGGAGAGGCTAGCGGGGTGAGGGGCGTTGCCAGGCAAAGGGCGAGCGCCGTGGTTGGGGTGCGGGTCGGTGAAGGGCTCCATTCCTTGGTGTCCGGGGACGGGGCCTGGTTGCCGGGAGATGGGAAGAGGCACTCCTGTTGCTTAGTGACTGAGGAGGGGGGCCCCCGTTGCCAAGTGACAAGAGCAGAGAGCCTCGCTGCTTCCTGACCGGGGAAGGGAGTCTTCTGTTGCTAGGAGACCAGAGGGGACCCTATCACCTAGAGACAGCGGAGGAGGACAGACTGTTACCTAGTGTGGTGGGAAGGGGGCCGTGTTGCTAGGTAACCAGAGAGCGCCCCAGTTACCTAGGGACAGGGGAGGAGGGTTCCTCTGTTGCTAGGTGACCATGATAGGGACCCTGTTACTTAGAGACGTGGTGGGGGTGGTTCTCTGTTGCTGAGGGAGCTGAAGAGACAGCCTTTTTCGTAGGAATAGGAGTAGGAGATGGAGGGATGTGTACTGCCAGGAGACTGCCAGGGAGCGGGGTCAGGGGCCCAGGGTCCTCCCGGGCTGCCCCAAGCCTTAGCTCAATCAATGGCGATGCCCCAAAGGCCTGCTGGGAGGTTGAACCTCTAGATCCCGGGCCCCTGAGGACCTTCTCCCTCTCCCAACCCCCAGCAGGAGCCAAAGACGGTATGTCCCAGGTCCCGGGAGCACAGCCGAGTCCGCCCTCTGTGTACCACGAACGGCAGCGCCTGGAGCTGTGTGCCGTCCACGCCCTCAACAACGTTCTGCAGCAGCAACTCTTTAGCCAGGAGGCTGCCGATGAGATCTGCAAGAGGTGACCGTCACCCACCCCAGCCCCTGGAGCAGCAGGCGGGCGCTGAGCCTGGGGGCTTTCTTCTGCCCCCACCCCGCTCACTTGCCTAAGCTAGACACTGGGGAGATGTTGCCTCCTGTGCCTGTCTGTCCCTGTGGCTTCAGCCCCAGCCAGGCCTCAATCCGGTGGTTCTTTCGTTTCTTTAGAGACGTCTTGCTGTGCTGCTTGGCTGGCCTCCAGCTCCCAAGCTTAAGTGATCCTCCCACCTCAGCCTCCCCAGTAGCTGTCATTACAGGCTCACCCCGCTTCAGGGTCTCTTATCTGGGCCCTGTCACAGCTCTCCAGTCCATCCTAAACATGCCCCACCCTGCTCAGGGCCCTCCTCATAGCAGAGGCCGAGTCTGCCTCTGCAGCTTCAGCCCTCATGGACGCCCTCAAACCAGACTTCACTCCATTCCCCTGGAGGCCCCACTGTGCGGCCTCTGGGCCTCCAAGTGCTTCTTTCTGCCTGGCGTGGCTGCCTTCCTTGCCAGCCTGGAATGTTCCTCTTCACTATTCACCATGTCAAACATCACTCTTTAGCCGGGCATGGTGGCTCACCCCTGGAATCCCAGCACTTTGGGAGGCCAAGGTGGGTGGATCACTTAAGGTCAGGAGTTTGAGACTGCCCTGGCCAACAGGGTGAAACCCTGTCTCTACTTAAAAATTTAAAAAACATTAGCTGGGCGTGGTGGCACACACCTGTAGTCCCAGCTACTCTGAAGAATTGCTTTAACCAGGGAGACAGGCTTCAGTGAGCCAGGCAACAAAGCAAGACGCTGTCTCAAACAAACATAAGCCTTTATCATCTCACTCCCTACTCTCTGTCCCCACGTCCCTGGCCCTAGCTCAGGCCTGACCCTCTCCTGCCCAGCCTGCCCGTGACCTCCAGTCTGTCCCCTCCCTGAGTCCCCACATGACGCTAGAGGGTCTTTCTACACCCGGAGATAGCCCTGCCTCCTCTGCCCCTTGCTCGAAGCCTCCTGCGGCTCCCGGATATCCTGAGAGTCCCAGCCTCTCAGACTGATTATTATGGAGTATATTCATCTCTTGTCATTCAGAACAAGGACCCATCAGCTCTTTCATGCCAAAGCCATGCTGGAGACCCTGAGATGACTGATACACGCAGAGTGCTGGCCTGAGGGAGGCGAGGGAAACACACACACGAGCCTTTTCCTCCCCTGCCCTGCTCTCCCAGGGCCCAGATAGGGAACAGATGTGCAGCTGTTCAGAGGCAGGGCCCAGAGACGCAAGTGTTGGCCAGCAGAAGAGCCTTCCTGGGCAGGGGGTGCCCCACAGGGGATGTGGCTGGGGATGGGGGACCAGGAAGGAGGGGGCTGAGGCTCTGAGGTGAGGCCACCAGGGCCAGACCACGCAGGACCTCATGGGACCCTGTCCTGGGGAAAATGAGGCAGCAGAGTGGGCTGTGAGCAGGGGAATGGCGGGGCTGTCCCATGGGAGGAGCAGGCAGCTGTCATCATTGAGGTGCTCAGTTCACTGGGGCAGCCCAGAGAGGGCCTTAACCCAGCCTGGAGGTCAGGAGGCTCCTCTCAGAGGTTGTGACATCTGAGGTGGGTCTTGACGGACAGAGGAAGGGACTGGCCAAGGGATGGGGACTTTGTCCAGAGGCGCTGGGGAGCCATGGAAGGCCTGTGAGCAGGGAAGGCCCAGGGCCTCGGGGAAATGGATTGGAGGGAGAGACTGGGGGCTGGGGGAGGAGACAAAGCCCTTCTGGGGCCTTGGGGACAGGGCAGAGTCAGGGCAGGAGAGACGGGACTTGAAGGTGGATGAGTTGTGGGGTCTGAAACGGGGAGAGTCAAAGGCCGAGGCAACTTGGGGCTCCTGGGACCCCCATTTTGTGGGGTGGCCTTTCCAGGGTCCCCAACTAAGCTCTGGCCACCCCCACTACCAGGTTGGCCCCAGACTCCCGGCTGAACCCACATCGCAGCCTCCTGGGCACTGGCAACTATGACGTCAACGTGATCATGGCCGCTCTGCAGGGGCTGGGCCTGGCTGCTGTGTGGTGGGACAGGAGGAGGTAGGCCCCAGAGCAGCACAGCACGTGCTGGGCTGGGCACTGAGGGCACCCTGTAGTGTAATCCTGTTGGGGGGAGGCAGGGAGGGAAATGCGGCGGGGGGAGATGGGCATGGATGTGGGAAGACTGGTGCTGACTGGTTGGTGGGGGAGATCAGATGGTTGATGGGCTGAGATGCTGGGTGGATGTTGGTTATTGGGTGAATGCTGCGTGGGCAGTTGGACGTGTTGGATGAGGAAGTATGAAGGGATGGGTGTTCGTGGGCAGTGGACAGCAGACAGGAGGCTGGGGAGTTGGGTGGATGAATGGGAGGTTTTGATGGCTGGCTGGCCAGTGGCTGGTGAATCAGGGGTAGACCGATGGCAGAGTGGGTGAGGAGTGGGGGGTGTGGCGGGGTCGCTGTTGGGTGGTGGCTGACTGCGTGGGTGGGGAGCAGTAGATGGCTAGCTGGATGGTGATGGTGGTGGGTGGCTGGCGGGGAGGTGGGGCGGGTGTGTGTGAGGGATGGAAAGTGAGCGCGGGGGTGAGTGTGTGAATCGTCTTTGGGAAGTTGGCTGGTGGCTGGGATCGGTGGGGTGGGCGGATTGTGGGTGGATCCTGGGTGGCTGTGTGAGGAGTGAAGAAGGTGGGTGGGTGGCTGGACAGACAGGGTGATGGTGGCTGGTGAAGGACAGATGTGAGCTGGGTGGGCGGTGGGTAGATGGGAGGTCTGGTTGGGAGTCCACGTGGGTGGGAGGTTTTTTTGAGTGGGCAGTGAACAGATGAGTGTCAGGAACCAGGGTGACTGATTAAGGAATACCCCTGGCTGGGCTCAGGAGGTCCCCCACCGCCACCAGCCTGGGCCCCACATGCTCCCCAACATTTCACCAGCAGGTAAGCGGGCAGGCCCTGATGACAGTGTCCCCCCCTGCCCACACAGGCCCCTGTCCCAGCTGGCCCTGCCCCAGGTGCTGGGGCTGATCCTGAACCTGCCCTCGCCTGTGTCGCTGGGGCTGCTGTCGTTGCCGCTGCGGCGGCGGCACTGGGTGGCCCTGCGCCAGGTGGATGGCGTCTACTACAATCTGGACTCCAAGCTTCGGGCGCCCGAGGCCCTGGGGGACGAGGATGGAGTTAGGTGAGCCCCGCACAGGTGATTCCAAGACCACGGGCTCCGACCTGAAACCCCAGTCCCCAGAGGGAATGCCACGGCTGGCCAAGCCTCAGTATCTCCATTTCTCCCACCCAGGGCCTTCCTGGCGGCTGCGCTGGCCCAGGGCCTGTGTGAGGTGCTGCTGGTGGTGACCAAGGAGGTGGAGGAGAAGGGTTGCTGGCTGCGGACAGACTGACCACAGCTGACCGTCGTGCCCATGGCACGGTTCCTGCGCATCTTCCTCCTTGTGTACACTGCGTGCCTGGGAAAGGCCTGCATCCATGGACCCGGGGTAGGCCCATACCCTCCCCACAGCCCTGCTCCCCACTGCCGCTGCTGCCTCAATAAATCTGCTGATTTGCTGCTGGCCTGGCCTATGTCTGACTGCCCCGCCCTCTTGGGGCCCTTCCGTTCAGTGACTCCCACTTATCTGAGAGGCCAGACACCCTGGTGGGTGGGGTGAGAGCCCAGGATCCCTCCTGGTTCTCCGCCACCTCATGCCAGTTTCTCACCACTGGGC